CCAGGCTGGAGGATAACACGTGCTGCTCTGCAGATGAGCTGATGCCACCCAGCAGCAGCAGTGCATGGGAGGAATATAGGCAATGAAAGATTTTGCAGCAGAGCTAACCTAAGTGAGGTGGTCAGTTTGAAACGTTACTCATTTTCAGTGGAGAGGAAAAGTGCCCTAAAAACGGAGGTGCAGATAGAAAGTAAACAAGTGCAATGGTAACATCTGGTTTCAAAATCACTGACAAATGCAGCAGTAATAGACAGCCCCATTAGCTTGTTTTCTCTAAAGCTGGGGAAGCTGGAAAGCTTCATTTCAGACAGCAGCAAGAAGTTCTGCTAGTCCTGCGTGCAGCATGAATCTACACCTTTGTCCAAGTGCAGGAAGACTTGCTCTGACAAATGCCAAGCTTAAAGCCACAGGTATGCCTCTATCTAGGCCTTCACTCGACATCAGTTAGCAACTGTGCACTCAAGTGTGCTATTGCCACAGCTCTGGTTACACAGAAATCAACTCCGCAGCTCTTGTGCTGTATTAATGAAACAATGAATTCGCATTATAAAATATTTCATGTGAAGAGAAGAGGTAGAGTTGTTTCATTACCTTTATGGCAAGACTTAAATGAAAGCAATAACAGCACCGTATGACTTTTTACAGGCTCCCAAACCGTCCACGAGAAGGCTCCTTTGGTGAAAGCCTTGCTACTAGCTGGCCCTGCTGGTGTTGGAAAGAAGATGCTGGTCCATGCTATCTGCACAGAAACAGGAGCCAACCTCTTCAACCTCTCCCCTTCCAACATCACTAGGAAGTACCCAAGCAAGAACGGCCTGCAGATGATGCTCCACATGGTTCTCAAGGTACTGTGCTTGTTTACTGCTACCAAAGATGCAATAATCAGAAAACAACCTTGTGATGGATTCCTGGTCCTGAGTTTTGTTTCAGCAGGTACACCAGGTCCAAAAAAAGAGTGCAAATCCAGATTTGAAATTCCCTTCTTGCTTTCATGCCTCCCAAACCACTTGCTGACAGCCAAGGATGAAATGCCCCATGAGAAATCCCCTTTAGTGTCCATATTTTTCACATCAACATTTCTACAAGCTTTATGTTACCTCGAATATGAAAAGCATCAGATAAAAAGTTTCCTGTTTATGTGCATGTCAGTCAGGAATGCATTCCATGCAGCATTTAATCAAATACCAGACTGGAGGTGGTCACAAATCCCCTCCCTGGGACTGTTGCTGCAAAGCAGCTCTCTCCTGTACTGCTCTCTGTTTACCTATCAGCAAGCTTTTGAAAAGAGAGAATCTCAGTTCAAGATTACATTAACAGAAACACACAAGAAGTCTGGAAATGAAAGAAGGCATATGAGCTGTGAAGAACATATTCCAAATCCTCATAGTAAGAAGAGATGCTACCCTGGCAGGATTTCTGCTAAGGAAGGAAGCTGGTAAACATTTCCAGAAGAAATGCACTTAGGAAAAAAAAAAAACAACGCAGCATATATACTAGCAATAGCCCAACGCAGCATTTCTCCCCCACCAAAGGCCTGCTAAAAGACTAAATTCAAATGGGCTTTCCTTGGGATTCAATCAGATGTACTTTATTAAAGCCAGTATTAGAGCAGGCTTTGTGGCAGGTGCCTCTATCACCACGGGAGACAGGTTTCACAATTAAAAGCAACGCAATCCCCAAGGAGCCCATTTCTTGCTGGTCAGAGCAGTGCTGGGGAAAAGCTGCCCTTTGAGGCTGTAACACTAACACTGGGTCTAGCATTCCCTGTGCCACCAGGCTCAGCTAGTACTCCCACCCCTCTCTGCTGACTTTCTGTGCCCTCATCACTAGCAAAGCACACATCTGACTGCAGGCGTAGCACACACACCACCCAGTCCCTGCTGGAGCACAGAACTGTTAAACACAGGAGAAAGGAGGGCAGCATCCTACAGAAGGTTCCAGCAGAGTGAATTAAGGAGGTTTTTGGTTTTGTTTTGTTTTTTAATATATATGTTCCAACCAGTATATATAGCACGTGTACACATGTAGGCACACATTATATACATATACACACAAGTTTGCATCCATGTTCAGCTGTTAAAAAACCCTTAGTTTTTCCAGATTGTACAAAATCAAACAGTAGCATTGTCCAAAAATCCCCAAAATCAGGGAGAAACAACCCAAATTTATTTCTCTACTGCAGACCCTCCAGAAGTAGGGATGATACTTTGGGGCTCCTCCACAGAGCACCACGATGGAAGTTGCTCACAGTCAGTCACTTGGAATAAGCATCCAGGCACTTGCTTACCAAAAGGTGACTTGTTCCAACTGCAGCAGCACTGCCCCAAACTCCACTCCTCTAATAACAGAAAACAGCACAGCACACTCCCTCTTCCCAGAGGATACTTCATCTGCATTTTAATTCCCCTAGCAATTCAAACACCTGCCTCAGCATCATGCAAGTCAGCTACATTTAATTTTTATTCCCAATTCCATTAGCAGCTTGACCTCTCCCCACCACCTCCATCCCCATGGCTGGGTTGCTAATTTGTCTAATCCCCTCACTATTCTGGATTGCACAGGTTCTCAGAGCCAGGATGGAAGCCAGCTTGGTCAGTACTACCAGGTCAGCTCCCATCTTTGTTCTGATCTACATTTCCAGCTGCCATCACTCAGAGCTGATTAAGCTGTCGTTGGCAGCTTGGAACCCTACCCCTTCCTTCAAGTTCTGTAGTTGTTTGCTGGCTGCTGGCAGTTATTTCATAGAGACACCCTGAAGCAGTGAATAGCACTGGAAAAAATGAAGATCTCGTTCATTTCAGATTCAAGAGCCAAATCTGTTTCTTTTTTCCTCTGTTATTTCTGGGAGGAGACAACAAGAGACATACCAGCCCTGATCCAAAAGAGGGACGTGTGTGTTGCTCAAAGCACGCATTTGAGATGTCACATGAGGGTAATGACTTCTCATACCAGAGCAGGAAAACCCCCACATTTCAATCTGCCTATTCAAAAGAAACAGAAGGAAGGTTAATCCTGAATGGGAAAGCTATTAAAAAAAGCTGGGAACACCAAGCTCCAGCAATTGCATTCTCCATAAAGACACAAAACCTACCAACTCAGCTCTTCTACTGGGAAGAAAGGATCTGTCTCAGAGACACAAAGCTCAAACCAAAGCATTCTGGAACATTTCAGTGAAAATCACATTTCCAATACATTGAGGCAGCTTGAATTCAAATGGAGTTTTCTGCCAGCTTGTACCAACCAAGGGTTAGCTCTCTCATCAAGGCACAAAGCCGTCCCCTATTAGCAGCCACCAGCTTAATCACTACCAGAATGACACAGCACTGACCAGGTGAAAAGGGTGGGAAAGCTGGTCAGGAGGAAATAGCAGCACAGAAGTGTGGGGATTAGCAGCTCTGTGCACAAGTTCCACTGACCAGTTCTGCAGTGCAAGCAGGCTGCAGGTGTTTCATCACCATCACTGTCAGTAGACTGCGTTATCAGGCTCTTTGGTTGTGCTATATAGCACATCAGAGGCAAATATCTTACACAGAAAAAAGAAGAGTGGTTGAGTTGATTTAAGATTAAATGGTATAATCCTTGCATTGAGAGGTAACATAACTTTGCCAGGTTCCCCCCCCTCTCCCCCACTGAATCAAGTTCATTCATTTGTAACCACTGCTGTACCGTCCCTATGGGCAGGTCATTTTTAAGACAATCTGAAGTATCAGGAATGGTTTACATTAGGGCACTGAGTATTTCACCATCAAAAGGGACTCCCATCACAGCTGATACGTGGGAACAGCACTATCAGCCTTGCCTCAAGCTCTCCAGGAGCAATTCTTATCTTGCTGCAGCACAGCATGCTAGAAACCCAAACCCTAGGGTGATAAATATCACCAGCTGCTGACACTGGGCAGGATTAGAAGGGTGAAGGAGCCATCTGCTGGCAGTTCCTCCAAACCAGGGAGAATGCAGCAAAGCTAAGAACACATCAGCTACAAATTAATTACGTACAGCACGTTTAATTATCCATGGATTCGAACTGTCTGTGGATAATTCAGATTAAGCACTTCCATGGGGACGTACAGCATATCTGCCAGCAGTGTGAATGAGAAGCTCCTGGCAGCCTGATCTGTCATCTGGAGAAGACAACAGAACTCAATGCACTGTGTTTGGGCTGCTAGATCACTGCCTACCAACACTGGAAAGATAAAGGCATGAAGCAGCCAGCATCCATAAGACAGCCTGGGTTGAAAAAGCCCACAGTGCTCATCCAGTTTCAACCCCCCTGCTATGTGCAGGATCACCAACCACCAGACCAGGCTGCCAGAGCCACATCTAGCCTGCATCCAAATCATTGCCCCAACCAGAACACACAGGGAAGCATCTATTTAAGAGGCAGCTGGCACTGAGTGTGTTCTTAACTAGAGACAAAAAAAGAAGAGCACAGGTGTGAAAATGGTAAGAGCTCTTCCTTAGGAGTTAAAATGAAACCCTAGGCTGGTTAAAGCCTTCAGGCTGTTTGAGAAAGCTGCTAACCACAGAACCACCTCTGAGCCAAATGGGGAAGATCCCTCCAGGCTGTAGCAGCCCTGCTGAGGAGACATCACAACTCCCTTTGAAGCGCATAAGCAGAGCTCAGCTACTGCTAACAGCTTAATAACCTTCCCCAGCCTCATTCCCTGTGTCAGATAGGGCTGCAGCATCAGACGTACAGGTATCTAGGAAATACTGCAGGAAAGCTGCATTGCTGTCTATCTTCATGCAACTATGGCACCATACAGAGCAAAACCAACAGGACAGGGCTGTTCTCTAAAGAAAGAAAACACACAGCATTGCTTTGCATCAGCTTTAGTAGAAAAGCAGCCCACATCAGCATGCAGGTCAGCCACTGTTAGAAAGCTCCCCTTAGAAGTGCTGAGTTTGGGGAAGGTCTCTAACTCAGAGCTTCCACGTGTCAAAACAGACTCCATAACACATAAAATGCAAATATCATCCTAAAAGAAACAACAACCTACCTTTCTGATCCTTGTGAGTCTGAGTTATCCAAAAAAATCCTCCCATTTCAGCTCCAGCACAGGATCACTACCACAGCATTCTTCCACCTGCCTTCAAGACTGCTTATAAGCAGCTAGGAGCTAATTGACTTCACCTGCAAGTGCAAATCAGCAGGAATGCTTGCATTTCTTGCAGATGTGTGAGCTCTGGACTAACAGGATGCTCAGTAGAAAGCCCTGAGGTGCTGCTGTACAGCTCTGCTCAGTGTAACTGCAAACCTGTCCCTTCTAATGTGCCTTGCAGAGTGACTGTGGTGTAGGAATATGTAAAACACACTTCTGAAAATAGATAAATAAAAGGTAGATAAGAAGTGTCTGACCTTAGATAGGCAGCTGTGCTATTTCAGTCTGTCCTTTCGCTCCAGCTTGCTTGCTCACTGCTCTGCTGGGCTGAGAAGTTACCCCTTAGGTTGTATGTATAAACATTCACGTTACTGCTAAGGCCCACATATTCATTTCTGCAAGATTTTCATCGTGTTCCTCACGACACCACCTATGGGTTTCATTATTAATGCTGAATAGCTCTGCCTTCCAACAAAGAGAAAGCTCTGTTTTCCTCAATGAACTTGGAGGTACCAGTTGATGTACTCTAGGGCTGACACATTCCTGCAAATAACGTGCCACGTGCCAAAGAATGGCATTGTTTCCACTTCACCCATCAGCAGCACAGCGGAGCAAACAAGCCTCACAGCTTTCCTCTGCCATTCTTCTCCCTTCTCTTCAATGCATTTTTACTGCACGGATGCAGCCGTGCTCTTGGCCATAAAAATGAACTGTGGTGCTTTGAAGGAAGATGTTCACATCTTAATTCTTCCTGCTCCAGCTGTCAGTCAGGCGCTGAGCTTATGATGTATACAACTTAGTGGTTTTGTAAGCTTCCTTCCTGGAAGCAGCAGCTTCAACTGGGGGAAGGAAAAAAAAAAATAAGCAGGACAGAAGAATGCTTTCTTGTTACCCATTGATTCCTCAAGCCATCACTTTTGTTGCTGAGCAAAGCAACACAGCTCTGAGAGCCACTGGAAAGTGATTAAAATTTGGCAGCAGAATGTCTAAACCACTGGCGTTTCTATAGCAATAGGGAGAGTGCAAGATGTGAAGAAGCCTGTAGCATTGCTGCCATCCTGCTGTGAACCAGAGGTATAGTGCTCTGACTTTGGAGCCGGAAAGCCCATTTCTATTGACCCCCCTCCCCCTTCCAATTTAACAGGCTCCATTTTAATTCTCGGGCTGACTGCGGATTAGATGTTATGCTGTAAGCCAGATTGCCTGCCAGCTTATTTTCCTCAAGGGTTCCTTTTTGCAGAACCACAGCCGAATTCGAGTTGGGAGGTGCAGCATAAGCACAGCAGTCAGAATGATCCAATTTGGGATGAGTTCTCACCTTTAGCTTCCTAAACAGAATCTGTTTGATGTGCCAACGCTACCGAGCAGAGCCAACGCTGCTCACGAGTGCTGCTCATTTCTGGGGGAAAAAAATAAACCCAGCTAATTGTAATTGCCGAAATATGGATTCAGAAGCATGATTATAGGCACCCAGGTATGAAATTATGGCCATTTTAATCAACTTCTCGCATTCCCTCTCCCATTTTCTCTTAGGTGGCCAAGCAGCTGCAGCCTTCAGTCGTGTGGATCGGAGACACGGAGAAAACGTTCTACAAAGCAGTGCCCAAGGCTGAAGAACAGGTGAGGTGCTCCTTTCTTATTTTGGTGCTGATCATTTCCAACACAAAGGAGCAGGTGTATCTCTCAGCTCAGCACATACTGGTATGACCGGACCCGCCGAAGCTTGCTTGATCATCGCTTGTCTCACTAATGTTTTTTTTTCTTTTAAGAGAGTCTTGTGACCTCTTGGGGGCTCTTAAGAAGTCACATTTCTCTCCTACCCAGCCGTATTTGCTGTATTTAAAAATAGTCCAGCCACTGCTCATCAGTGCACTGAAAAGCGGGAGAGAATAATGGAGAATTTCAAAACGCGAGGCAAGAAGCTAAAAGTTAAGATGAGCTTAAACTGTTCGGGTCTATTAATTTGAGAAATTGGATGGAGCCAAAGTGAACAATAAAGTAACGAGGATAAATTTCCACTGTGAAAGCGAAGAGCATATATTAAACACTTATGTTTACAGATTATTTTCTTTGGGCTCCCCGGAGCCCTGTTAGCTTCCATTCCTTCCTGCCTTGTGCAGCTTCCCCACCAGAAAGAAAATTAAAACACTGCCCAATAGGCACAGCAACTCAGCCACTGCAGCACAGAGCCGTTCACCTGAAGTCCTGATTAGATTCATGCTGCTTGCAAAATAGTTCACAAAACCAAAGCTTTCTTTTTTTCCTAAGGCAAGTGCTTCGTGTTTGGGCTGTGTGATGGACACGAGCCTGGTGATTTGGAAGACTGTATCATGTTGGATGAGGCCACTGAGTGCTGAGAGGGCTGCAGGAGCTCATGGGTGTGCAGGGCTTGATGCCCTCTAGTGGTTCTTATGCTGGGAGTGAACGTTCAAGTGCAAATGGGGATTAAAATGAAGGCTAGAGGCCAAAGGTTGCCTGGAGCACTCTTGAGCTTTATCTACTTTGAAAGGAAAAATAAAAAAAGTAGTCTCTGTCCAATCCTCTGTAAAGGGTGCAGAGCAGTCAGATATCAAATACGTTATGGTAACCCAGCTGCCATGGATGACATGCAAGCAGTTAAGCCACTCAAACAAATAGGGGTCACCTTCACCATTCACCCCACTTTTCTCCAGCTCAGGTGCACGTGATGGCTGAGATCCTAGCTTGCCTCTGTGACAGGTTCTCTTGCTACTGATATATTTCTTTCAAGGTGGAGGAGGTAATGTTAGCTTTCAGTACATATCCATTAACTGCGTGCACTCTGGACACGCATTACCTTCAAAAGTGTAGCAGGAGCTGCTGACACACAAATGCCAGTCAGTAGGTTTGACACAAGAGTGGAATCTTTCCCTTGTCTCTAGCACCAGTACGTTTATGATTTGAAAATAAAGATTCCTACAGGCTAAGCAATGAGCACCCATAACAAAAGAGGGGCTAATGGGTATCCGTGAATATCACATCACCCCAAAAAACTCTAAGTGCTCTAAATGCAGGGGATAAACTGGGGCTTATTTTTGTGAGACAGGAGTCAATTGCTTTAAAAATTCTCTGCATCTTCTGACAGATCACATTTTCCCAGCAAAAGACACTTTATTAGTATAAGAAAGGCTGGTCTGAAATTGAGGCAGCTGCTAACTGCATAGCAAAAAATGCACACCTAGAGTAAGGCTCTCCATTGAGTGTGATTGACTGGGGTGTTAAGCCTCAGTTATTTCTGGAGAGGCTTCTAAGTCATCAGACTTTTCTGAATACGTAAAATCATAGAATGGCTTGGGTTGGAATGGACCTCAAGGATCATCAAGCTCCAACTCCCCTGCAACGTGCAGGGCCACCAACCTTCACATCTAACACTGGATCTCTAACCCAGTTATTCATTTGCAGAATAACACCTCAGCAATTTGATGAAGTTTTCCCCACCAATTTTCACTTGATCCTCATCAAACTTAAGTAGCCAGTGAAAAGTTCTGCTCAACGGACATCTGTTCTGTCGATAAGAGTTGAATATTTATAATAAGGTCTAACAGCAATCATCACAAAGATCTGAGTCCTGAGTTCAAAGAGCTGAGATTCTCAGCAAGGTGAAATCAAAGAAGAAATCAGGGAGTGTGTTTTTCATATTGAAAATACCAGCAGGGGATGGTAGACGAGAACCTTCCTGAACTATGAGAATTCCAGGCCAGGTTACATACCCATGTGTTCTTTCTATCCATTAGGGATCACCAAGTGCGCAGGTCCAAGCAATATTTCTTGAACTGAAAAATTTCCTACTTTAAACGAGTTGTTGCTTCCTTCCTGCTTTCCAGGAGAGAGCCAGCAAATGCTCTAATAAAAAACACAAGCACTCAAACCCACGAATCCCTGGGCAGAAATCAGTTTGCAGAAGATAAGGGCTTTCTACTCAGGTTGAGCATCTAGCCTGTTTGTACTATATTGCAAAGAAACTAGTGAAAAAAAACCCAAATCCCATTGCAGATAGCATGTCTATGGATAACACACATACCTACATTATTCATATCTACAGTCTTTGCTTCACCTCATTAACTCTAAATTGTCAGTACTGATAAGAACTCTTTCCCCCTTGTATTCACATGCGCTCTCTGAAGATGAATCCGAAACGTCTGGAAAAGATTCTCCCCAAATTCCTGAAGGCTTTGAAAGCAGAGGACAGAGTGCTGCTGGTGGGGACCACCAGCCGGCCCTTTGATGCCAAGATCAAACCTTTCTGCAAAGTTTACCAAAAAATCATCCTGATCCCTCGGCCTGACTATGCTTCAAGATTCGGCAAGTACCTCGAGTCTTTCTGACAACTACTGATGCACTTAATAATGTGAATTACTGCAAGAAAAGTGGTGGTTTGTTCACGTCCTTCAGAAGTGGCTGGTAGATGGGCTTTTGTTCCCAGAGGTATCATTTTCTCCTGATTGTATCATGTGGTTTAATACACTTTTCTGGGTACTGTGTAGTCTGGATGTGGTGACTCATAAGCAGAAGGGCCGTTGAGGTTCAGTCTAAAGATGATGTGGAAGAAAGATTTAGGACTATTCACAGTGACACCAAACACTTCTAAGCCAGGACTCTGAATGGTACATTTCTCCCATCGGAAGCTCCTAGCATGAATATCCCTATTGATCACCATATCAAGGAGAACAGACTCCTTTCATGCCACTGATCTCTGGTGGATCATATCCCAGAAGAATACAGAATGAAGCCACATTCAGTCCAGAGACCTCACTACACAACTGTGCTCTGAGTAAACCAGACAATCTTGCTCCACATCTTCATCTCGTTACAAAATGATGCAACTGTGTTTTGAAGTCCATTTCTGCGCTGCCTTTCAAGGAGGCAGCCAAGGTACTGAGATGATGCATGTTTGGGCAAGCTCAAGACAGATTTTGACTGTCTAGCACGTTGTAAATCTCTCCCACATTCAATAATTTTCAGTGTGGATGGGAAACGGTCCTTAAGCAGGCTAACATATGTTTCATGTTAGGTTACAGCTCTGATTAATTGCTAACAGATAAGGGACTTGAATAAGACCTAGAGAAAGGAGGTGATAGCAGCTGAATTTAGCTACGTTCACTCCTGGGGACTGAACCTGTCACATTC